ATGAGGGCAAAGGTTGCATTTGCAATAGGGCTGTTATTTTGTTGTCGATAAACGAAATAATATATTCCTCGAAAACCGTGTCCTGAGACTGCAAAGAGCATGCCTGGGAGTATAAATCAATTAAATTATAAATTACTATACAGAAGTTGAGCAAAACGACCACCTGTTGAGGATAGGACGAGGAAGGTCGACGAAGGGGATGAAGTGGGGTAGCTATCTCGTAAATTCCGTGCTACTACCTCCCTGTATCCATGTGTAGAAATGGTTACTTCTTATTTACTCCCCTTCTTTTTTTCCTTATAACCTGTTTCTACAATATCATTTCCAAGTGTCACCTGGTGGTTCTATAAATACGTTTATCGAGTTGCATTTGTCAGCAAGTTTGTTTACCCTTTCGCGAATATCTTCTACAATATTAACAGCTACAATATAATAAGCTTAATTTTTTCAAGAAAAACGTATAATATAGCCTAGAACTTTTATGTATGTAACTATTTAATCTCGTGTCATTCGAAATTATATAACGCTTATAGTTGACTATTTAGTTCTTCGATTATTTTCTAAACTCCATACTGCGACATATGTTCAGTATTGTAAAGGGAAATGGAAAGAGAGGGGAAATAAAACTCATTCGCAATTATGCGATTATTAATTGTTGGGGTTTACTTAACTACGCTTTCGTATCTCGAAGCTTTGACAAGTGTGGTCGAATGATTTTCATTGTTTAACGCTAGTTAACAACGATTCCTAGTATTCTATATAGTTCAAGGAAAGGTTGTTAATATTTTAACTTCAAGGCGGATTTGGCAGATAAGCGTATAATTGGGAATGTGCGAAGAAAGTAGTAGGTAGGGACATTGAGAGCTGCCAGAGATGATTAATTCTCGTCGGAAAGCGCTAGACCCTTTGGAACTCGGTTGTAGCGTCCGCGCCACCCCCGCTTTTCTCATTCCACACCGGCCCACCCTCCACCTCGCTCTTCATACAACCACCTCATTCCTCTCAACTCTCTGAACCTTTCTTACTACCGACAGACTTTCTCGTTTCGTTTGTTCTCCGCCCGTGTCATTCGTTATTACATCGTAGAAACTCGCAGATATTTGGAATTCCAAGTGACGTCTAAAGGCGGCCGGTGCTTTAACCGATAGCTCGGTTTCTTACCTTAAAGGAAATCGTGTTCGACATCGCTTTTGTTAATATCCTTACTCGAATTCTTGTCGCACACACACACACACACACACAACATCCAAGTGTTGTATATAGTATATGTATAGGATCGTTGGGTGTGCATATTATTTTTCAGATCGCGTACATGTATATATCTTATTGTTACATGTGTGTATGTGCCTGCAAATATAATCATGATACAATCCTAAATTTTTAGTATCCGGTTTATCCTAAATCCGAACTCATCCGGTGGCCCCATCCTGTAAGACCAACGAAGCGCACGCGTCTGCTCGCGATATCGGTTGCATTTGCATAAGGCTATCGTCTTTCCTTTGTTGCGGACTCACCTCCCACGTACGTGGCGAGGCTGTCACTCAGAGTTTCAGAACTCTCCTCAGTCTTCTCTCACATCAACCGTGGATCAGTATTCCCCTCTCTCTCTCCCCTTCACCCTCCCGCATTTCTTCCTTCTTTCTCCCTCTTTCTCAATTTCAAACCTCCCCGATAGCGAGTAAGCGCCTACACCCTATCTTCGCTACCTTGCCTGCATTCCTGCATACTATTACACGGACCTGTGCTTACACGTTTCGTTCGCAACTCATGCCTACTTGTTCCAAATAAAATTGTGCCTCGCCGGATACCTTGCTCCACGGATTCCCGAAGCGCGGAATACTTCACAGGTCGCATCCGACTCGACGTTAACCGAGAACCGCCCGGATCTATTTCTCGAATAGATATTTCAGCGGACGGTTGTTTCTCTTATTCTTTTCAACATCGAACGAACCCACGAGAGCGGCGATATGATTATCACCGATAATTACCGCCTCGGTCTTGAACGTTCGCTCTTGAACTTTGAACGGGAAACTTTCACGCCACCTACAGTCGCACGTAGTCCGGTGAATCGTCTGTTTATTTTCAAGCTTTCCGTATCAGGCGATACGAAAATCGGTAATTCGAATCTCCAAATCCGATTAACGATAACCTCAACGTTCGTTCCCCTTGTCTCATATTTGCCGCCGTGCAACCGTCAAAGAACATACCGAGTGTCAAGATAAGGATCTTGATATCGCGGCGCGATAGGCGACCAAAACATTTCGGGCGGCCGCGAATGGATTTCGGGCGAGAGCGCAAAACGTACAAAACGGTAACAGTAGAGAGAAAGATAGAGAGGTGGCCCAGGGTGTTCCGCTAGTGCGTTACTCCGCGCTCCTCGAAGTAACTCGACTTCTTGCCTTCGTGAATGCGGAGGTCTTCATGGGTTTCGCCGTGCCGGCTAACTGGGGATGGAATGGAACGTACTTGCGGTGGATACGGGAGGAGAATGGAGGCCGCATTAATAAAACATTAAGGTTTTGTAGACGATGTATCGATGTAGTGTTTATATTATCTTCTTTGATGTCGACATGTGAATTGGACAGATTTGTTATTCAGACTCCGTACATAAAAGTGCTGAAGTCTTGCTCCGGCTCCGTTTGTGGACAGGGCGCGTATCGACGGACGACAACTCGGACACCGACGGACGGCTGGACGGACGGACGGACGGGCGGACGAACGGACGGACGGACAAACGAAACGAACAAACGCGAGCATGGATGGATGAACGCGGACAGCCTGCTTCAAGTCCGCTTGTCAGTCAGTACGTAGAAGAGCGGTCTTATCCGCGCGCCCAGTCAGTTCGCCGCGCTTACTTGGAAAACTGTTTCCTGCTGGAATATTTTTCCACGTTGCTGCTCCGTTAAAGAGATGAAATATATCGCGAAGAAGCAAAAGAGAGATGCTCTCTATGAAGGAATTAAAACCCGGTCTTATTGGCGAGAGTCAGCGAGAGAAAATAGCCGCGCGCGACGTGACGGACTTTTTTTTCGTTTCCTCTTCTCTTGCAAACGGGAAGGATTGCGAATGAGGGGAGAGCGTATTTTTTGCGCGCGCGTGTGTGACTTCTTGGAAGCCCGTTTGTCGTACTGTGTTGTACGTCTACGGTGTCGAATAATAGCACGATCGCTTCTCTACACCTTAATTTCACAACGAACGACCTACACCCACTCGTTTCTCCGAGCCGCGTGGTATCGACATTCTTCGCGATGTCGTGCCCGGGACTCCGCGATCCCCCTTCCACTCTCAACACGGTACTGTGATCCTGAACCTTGACTCTTCATTAATCACCCCCGTGGTATCAATGACTGACTGAGTGACTGACGGCAGGCGAGAGGTATTATATACCTACGGTGTTCGCGCGATGCGCTGATGCTCGTCGTGGGGATCTCTTTCTCTCTCTCTCTCTCTCTCTCTCGGCTTCTCTGATAAACTGACGAAGAAAGAACGAACCTCGCCCGAAAAAACTTTCTTATGCCTTTCCTCGCCGTCTCGTGTAAAACTTAATAAAAAAAAACAACTTGTTAAAAGGAAAGACGAAAAAAAACGACGCATATATATATATCGTAACATCACCCCGATGTCGATTCTTAACTCGATGTAAAAAAAACGCGATTGCACACTCGTAGATGAAAGCCAGATTTCTCCCGAGGCAGAATTAAATTTGTCGCTGTACATGATCATGCGCGCCAATTAGAGTAATAACGAGCGAGTTAAGTGTCGTGACGTGAAGCGTATATCTGGAAAAAGGAGAAAGAAAGAAAAAATGAAAACACTCAAGACTACCAGTCTTGACTTATACTTTCCGATAAAGAGGCAGGACCAATTGGATCGAAAGGTCACGACCTTACGGTGGCCGGCGCCACAGTGAGTTTACTCTTCATTTATACGGTACTCCGTTACGGGTCCAAACACACTGAAAGTCACGGTTACCTTCTCGCACAGCCTCTAACAAAGGTGCATCTACGGTGCCCAATCGAATATGCGGCGTCATCGTCGGTAGCTTAGACGATCTGATCATCCCATCGGTGAGCCTCGCGACGGATCGTGACGTTGCGTTAAGGCCTTGTCTTCTCTTGTCTTCTTGTTACATGACTCCTGTCTGTTTCTTGTAGTTTTCGAGGGTGTGAGTATGCTTTATCACACACGCCTCCTTGCAGCCGATACGGCCGATTCTTATCGCGGCGCTTTCAGTCAGAAAGTAAAATGTGAACTAGTCGAGTGTGCATATTTTCTCTACGAGCGCGATCGCCAGTACCGTTTAAATCGTCCGATTGGCCGGGTAGCCGATTAATTTTACATATCGATCGGAAAATCATGCGTGTATATTTATTTGCGCGCGATGAATGCAGAGGCAATTTCTCGAGAAAGCGTTTGCGCAACGTACAAGCGAGGCGTACGACGCCGAATTGAAACGTTAAATTGACTCGCGCGTAACTACTACGGTCACTGTAATCTGAGGTCGGCATCTAATCGGAATCTAATTAATAGCAGTAATATAATTTAAGACATTTGCGTAATTGAAATAATAAGACGCGTTATTAGCGAAAAAGAGTCTGTACTCTGGAAAGAGATAACCTCCTTCAACTTCGACACACTATCGTGTGTTTTACGTACGAGCAGTAAAGAAACATGCGCCAAATATATCATATCGGCTATTATAAACACAATAATTATCGTCGTGACAAGACGTGCGTCATGAATGACGGTACTTTATAACCGCCGGGGACCGTAGCTCTTTGTTAAATTGTATTGCTGTTGACGTATCTCGGACATTTTTTTAAACAACTGATAACACCCGATCGTACGCGTTGCGAGCACCACTGCGAACTTGAGCGGTATCTTATTTTTTCCAGCCTCGTCGGATCCGGAAAGGAAGGAACACCGATGATTTCTGTACGTCACATACCATTTAATAATTACAATTTAAATTATATAATTATACGATCTTACACGTACGGTGCTCTAGATTACGTAGATGTAATAAGTAGGTATTTTTAGTTTAGACTATTACGTATATTACATGGAATGAAGTAACATTTGAGTGACGCTACGCGAACGTAATATTTGAGCTTAATTTAACTCGGAGAACGCATCCTTCGCACCTGACGAGTAAATAGTAAATATCTGCAGCTTTCGTTTCGCCTCTCTCCACGTCAAACCGCGGGCACATACTACGGGAACGACTCTCCGAATCGATTTTCGATAAGCCATCGAGATAGCACAACTACGTATCCCGCGATGTGTCTCTCGTGTAAAAGAGTAATTCAAATCTCGCATCGTTTATGCACATCGTTTATAGGTACGGAACGTGTTGCACGACACGCGGCGTAAACAACAAGAAAAAAAAAATAATAATAACGAAACAAATAAAATACAATATTAACACTGGACCAAGTCATTAGTAACAGACTCACTCTCAATACAATAATAGAGATAATATCAAGAATTTCAATAATGATAATGATGATGATAATAATAATAATAATATTAATAATAATAATAAAATCCTCACTATATACTTTATTTAAATATCCTTATAATGTACCAGGCGATAACGAAAAGAATTACGGTGTTTCTTCCGGATGCATTTGTGTGTGAGAGAGAAACAAGTACCCTTTTATATTCCGTATTCCGGATGACGTCTCGAAATTGTCGGCTCAAATACAGTTCCGGCATCGTTTACTTCCAATTGATCCATTCGCAAGAGTTGATTTCAGTAACACTTTACCTAGGCTTAATCGCTAATTCGGTAGTCCGATTCGTAATTCGTACGACGATTGAAAGAGGACCATTTTTTCATTAACGCCTCGTACACAGTAATAACGTCATTCGATATCGTGTTATATATTTAATAATTATGTACAATTCAGTACTAATCTAGTTAAAAGATCTCTTTTTTATTTGTGTCCTTCCTCTCTCTCTCTCTTTCTCTCTTTCTCTCTCTCCCTCTCTCTCGCTTGTATCGCTTAAGATATCTTGACATACTAAATTCCCTGTATTCTTCCGAATTTGCATCGCGTAATGCGCGGTTACGATAATTTGATAAGCATAGAGCGACTGCTTTTAAACGTTTCCATCTGTTGTATCACAAGATAATCAGTTACTTAGATACTACCTAATTAGCATACATACACTTGCGCTCGCTTCCCGGTTAACTAGTCCAATATCCAATCGCTTTTTTTTTTTTACCGATTCATGCGGAGTAATACGTTTCTTCTGTTACACAATCACACACCTATGCGTATTCTGGGTATCGATAAGTACGCGCAATCGGGTGGCACATGCATGCGATTTGCGTTAGATATCCAGCGCGGCATGCACACACATTGCACCATCGTAGTTTATTACACACACTCACAATGTAGCGAGTGTCATTTATTCCGTTCGACCGCACAAAACATTTTCTCTTCTCTCTGCGTTTCTTTCTTTTTTTTTTTTTCTTTCTCGTTCATCGTATAGTTCGGACTTGGTTATAGAACTTCGGATATGGTTATAGAAACTAATACATCTCGCGGATTTCTATGAGGATTAAGATTAATATATCTTGAGACGAGAGAAACAATAGCAGTCCATTTGATCTATCGATCGCGATAAAATGCTCGATGCGGTAGGATAGAAGAAAAAACAAAAAAAAAAAAGAGAGAGAAAACGAACGTCAAGTTCCGCGCAAGATCTGTCTACGTACCAACAATTTTAGGAACAACGTGGCTGCTCCAGGGAGAGACATCGGTTACATTTTGCTGTGAGAATTATGTACAGTAAAATTGCTGGGCCCTCAGCTGCCCACCGTTTCGTCAATATCGCACAATAAGACCGTCGATACGATGTTGCAAAGTCAAGCGCAATTTTATGACACGAGAGTTTATTTCCGGAAGAAAACGCGGCGTGTGTAAAAATCAGAATTCACAATACCTTTTGTAATTTCACACGGACCACTTCTGCGTGTAATCGCGTAAATTAATGTAGGAAGGAATTAAGGTATGTCTAGGCGTTTCATACGAAAAAAAAAGTAGTGGAAGTGTAAATACAGATGTAAGTATGTAATTATGATTCTGTGTAAACTGTGTGTTATAGCTTTGTAATAATTATATTACTTTTAATCGTACGTGCAAATTATGCTGCATGAATATCTCGTCGTTACTCTACTAATATAGCGTCGCGTCAGCCGTTCCTTACTTTCTAGAATACTTCATAAAGCCAGCATAATTTACACGTTAACCGTGGATCATTTCCAAAGTCACCTCTGTCATTCAGGATTCAACGGAGAACAGTTCGAGTATTTAATTGGCGTCTTACGAACTACAAAATAGAGACTCTAACGTGCAGATAGAAACTATGTTTCTCTTGGGGCTGTTTTGGTCTTTCGCAGGCTCCTTCTTTTTTTTTTTTTCGATAAATACGTCCTTCTTTCTCCTCTTTTTTTTTTTCTTTTAGAAAAGACCGAACAAGGGAACAATGCTCGGAAGAAGAGAACAATAAATAAGTACATGTGAGCGGCATTCTCCCGATATCATTTCCGGTCGATTATTCATTCACAAATGAAACAGTGCGCAGCCAGACAAGATAACGGATAGATTTGTTTTTCCCTTTCTTCTTTTTAAGATTAATTAATTACTTAGACCGCAAAAATTTCTACATCTTAAGCTAGGGATTTCGGTTTCATCTCACCCGCTGAGGTGGCCTCTCATTCGCTTCGGTATTCAGTATTTTATAATCTCATGCGTGAGAGCCCCTCGGAGCGCGTCCAGTCTATTAAATCGGGCGTACGGCGCTATATGTGCAGAAAATTTTGGCTTCCCTTCAACTTCGAATAGTCGTAATAGCGACAGTGTGGACTTCGTGTCCGCGGACGAGTGGGAACGGATTGCTGCCTCTTCGCGCTGTCCCGAAAGAGAGAGACACACAGACAGACAGACAGACAGGATATCTCATTTTCCCTGGCGCGCTTTTTCTCTCCTTCTTCACCGGAGGAATCGCCCCCTTCCCTAATTTCCCGGATGCGCCAGTAACGCCAATAAATATGCGAAACAATTTTAAATACAAGATTAACGTACGGAAGGAGGATGATAGTCTTCCTCGCCCCGGCTGCGACAATCCGTTACCCCAGCGTCGCTGCTGCGAGAGCAATCGCGGCGAGTCAGCGGAACGAACACGCATCCACGTGTCCTACTGGAAGTGAAGTCTCCACGACCCGGTCATCCACGTCACGTGACAGGGGCCCGTGACGTAGCGCGTAGGGTCTAGGGCGGAAAAAGCCTTTTAGAAGTTCTGCTCGCCGTACATCCCGGGGAACCGGACAGCGTGTGCTCCGAGCTCGGCGGGCGAGAACTCGTCCTATGTGGCCAAGTGAGCGAACTGACCGGGGTGGGGCGCGAACTGGTAAGGGTGGCCGTACGGCGACATGTGGTACGGCACGATGTTCATACTCGCCATCTTGTGCTCCTTCTTCCACTTCATACGCCGATTCTGGAACCAGATCTTTATCTGACGCTCCGTAAGACAGAGGGCATGCGCGATCTCGATGCGACGCCGCCTCGTCAAATAGCGGTTGAAGTGGAACTCCTTTTCCAGTTCCAGGGTCTGGTACCTGGTGTACGAGGTCCTTTGCCGTTTCGTCTCGCCGTTGGCATTCACCGTACCTGGAAGTCAAAGGGACTCGTTATTGCGCGAGGACAACCGAGGACGATACACAAGCGTGGAACTTTGTGGAAATAATCGATAAGTCACGGAAAGAGAGAGAGAGAGAGAGAGCGCACAACGATTCGTTCTCTCTCTCTCTCTCTCTCTCTGTGTGTGTGTGTGTGTGTGTGATCGTCCTGCGCGCGTACGTGATATTTCCACCGTACGTAATTTTCGCCGGTATAAAATAAGAGCGTTTAGAACGCACTGTTTCTCGAAAGGCTGAGATTTTATCGGCGAGAGCGGAGAAGCGCCAAAAGGTTGAATAAAAGATGGGGTCGTCGAAAGCGCTGCTGAGACGACGATTGCTGAGGGCCGGGCGTGCGACGCGTGACGCCCTCGTTAATTATTTTAACGAGTCGTGGTTAATGTTACTCGGCCAGTGCTACCGGATTGCAAACTGGTCACTTGGCAGCCGCTTTACCTATTTGCTCCCGCAGCACGCCTCGGCCATAAATAATTTTGCAACGCTATTATTACGATACACCGTTACGTCTATCATGCGTATTTTCCGAGCGTTGCTCAAAAATTGCCGCATGGACATTGCCGAACAACGCCAGAAATAAGCCTCGCCTCTCTCGCGTGTGGTCGCGCGCACAGGTCAATTTCATATTGGCTAATAATCTGTTTCTTTTCTTCAAGGTGGAAATGGTATATATCAGCGATGTGTTACGTAAAATAGGGAACGTGCTGTTCTCGCGAGGAGAGAGACTGAACGGCCGGGAAATATTGTTACACTTAGGGGGGCTCTCGCGAATAAGGTGTGAAAAAAAAATGGAAGGAAACGTTATTCCCATAATTGAATTCGACGAAGCGGACGCGTACCACTTACGATTTTCCACCGGTGAAAATATTTTCGACGGCGGCCGCGTATCGCTACGTACTGTATTTCGACGTGACCAATATACTAAATAACTTCTACCCTCCCGACTGTAACGCGGGCTCCGGTTTGATGCTTCAGCAGGTGTTACGCGAGGTAGGGGCGCGTTTTTAGGTTCATTGTGAGCACGGGTCATTGCGGATATTAAAGAGCCGGCTCATTTACAGCTATAATGGATAGCTATTAATAGCGCGGGACAAGGGGGAGAGAGAGAGAGAGAGAGAAGTTGATGAGTTGTACAGATAAAGATGCGGCTAAGCAGGAAGTACTTGGGCAGAACGGCAGCAAGAAAGTCGCGCAACAAATGCGCCATTTATATAAACCTTCGCTGATTCATAGTGGAGCACACGTGCGGAAATATACGATAGCAGGATATATGCGGCAGTTCGAAGCTCGCTGAAGCAGACGCGAGCGAATATTTGTCTACTATTGCTCGAAAAGCGCGTAATTTTCGATCAGCCGACGGCTCCTTCTCTCTCTCTCTCTCTCTCTCTCTTTTGGTGTCTGGAATATTTGCAACGTAACGTTAGCAATAAGTCGTAAGCCGGTAATAAGTGATACGCCTGAGAATTTATTCCACGAGCTTGAGCAGCGGGCATGCTTCCGCGAGAGAGAGAGAGAGAGGAAAGCTCTTTTCTGCGGAACGACTAGGACGGCTAACCAGCGAACATTGAACAACGAAGCTCCTACCGAGCTTAATGACTGGACCCTTCACCCAGCCAGCGTTATCGCTTTCCTCCCGATGTAACACGTCGCTGGGTCGTGCGACGTGACTTTTTAATAAATAGTGTTCTGGCTGTCTGAACACGGACTCGTTCGGTCTGCATATCGTTTATCCGACATACCTGCTCGCTTTGTAACCGACAAACGGAATTCTCTTTTTCATCCGCTCATTATATTGTACGACATTGCCGGGATCGTCGGCTGAAAGCCGACTTAGTAGCAATAAGGAGTCGCGTTGCGAAAGCGGCGGTTTCTCGTTCCTCGAGTGTCTCGTTCGTTTGACGGTCGTCGGATTGTCGCGTCGCGCAATTGTCAAGCCCCGGTGCTGAATCAGTCCGGACTGATTTTTCATTATTCGCCGTCGAGCCGGCTTTTCTCATCGGTCCCGTGCATCACACTCCTATCTCGATGTTGAAGAAAAAAACCAAGTGACCGAGTGGCGGAAAAAGTCCAAATAGACGTTTCTTTGGAGCGCACGCGCGCACCCTTGATCTTTTCTGGTGATAAATTGCTATCTGTATCTCGTCGACATCGATACAACACGCACCCGTTGATGTATAAAGGAATGTGCTCGGTGAAGGTTGGTGAGAAAGTTCTCGGCGATGCTCATGCGCGATTGAAATATGTTTCTTAGACGCACCGTGTTAATCCTTCCAGCTAATACCGCACAAGGGAGATCAGGATATACGCTCGCTTGCCGCCTGTATACACGACGCGGGACTTTTTTTTTTCTATCGTAGCCGCAGAAATATGCGCCGGGGATAATAATCCCCGGTGTGTGTGTGTGCGCGCGCGCGCGCGCGCTCGGCGTGTGATTGTTAAATCGTCGGGCATTATTTAATCTTCGGTGCGATCGTGTGATTGATCATTTTTGTTATTTTCATGCTATGCCTATGACGCATTAAAGTGCCGTGGTAATCGCTGACCCGATTAAATTTCACGCGTGTCAGGCACACCTGTTTAATTAGCATTTAGATTCTATCTGCCGTGATCTCGGTAGTTATTCCCGCACTATAAATTCCAATGCATCTAAAGGGGTGTACGAGCCAATATGTTATTGTAACGTGAATTTCCGTAATCATACGCATGGCTTGCGTTATATATCTCCGGGTGATAAATTTCACAATCGCATTGGATCTTAAGCGGATGCAATGGGAACACTTCCTACGTTCGCTCTCGTAAAGACGCGGTGGATTTCCTTCTTACGCTTTCGTGGCGAACTTTTACCTTCTTCTCGTGGAATAACGGAAACACAGAAGCGCTCCGCCACCGTAAATATATCGTTCGTGTAAGAGTGTGCTCAGCGATATGATGTAACGTTGTCAGTATCAACTAACTTTACTCACTTCGAAAGCTTCGAAAGTAACTTCGAACTTTCGAATTTTGATAAGCCGACGCCTCGAAGGTATGTCTTAAAAGGCTGTTAATTATTGTTATTTTAACATGGGGAACGTGTTAAAAAGTATAAAAATGTAACGTTAAATTAATGCATTCGCCTTGTTATTCAACATATGTTCCCTATGTTAGGGTAACGCAACATTTTCATGGATCCCTTTTAACGCGAAATTATTTTTTTACTGTGACACTAATTACGTTACTCCAGTATTCGGGTAATCTATGACGCGATCGGATAAACAGATACTCGAGAAACATCCGAAAGACCGGCTTATCTGACTTATACCCGGATATCCGGATATAGTAGCGTCACTGATATGAGACGGTTGAGCAACGTTACGCATACTTGCTTGGAAATCCTGTGAAATTACTTTTAGTCGTCGACTATTAGCCGCGCTCTGCCAGTCAATCGGTCACGACTGATCGCTAATATCGCCGACTGACATTACGTTATTCGCCGTACTCGTCGCGTATCGCAACTGCGTAGAGAAGCAAAAACTATGACATTTTGAACGTTTAAAGCGATAAGATGGATTCGAGAAACATTCATAATAAAGGAAATATGTTAAATAACATTTCTGTTCTCAGATGAGAATTGTTCTCCCTTGATATTTTACGGAATTGCTCAATATATTATTTCCCTCCTCTTCTCACAAGTCGTCAGGATAAAACGCATCTTAATAAATTACCCGATAATATCGCAATCGGCGAAATTTATTAAGTGAAATAATTTCGTCCCTTCATATGGAGACGCATCGGAAGACTGTCGAAGAATTCAACTGGAACAAAAGCGTTTAACATCCTTGGTCGTGCAATGAGAGATGTGCCGGAGAAGCCGGAGGTGCGCGCACAGCCGTCGTCGTTGTAAGACCGAGGCGGGCTAAGCGCAGGGCCGTGTCGTGTCACCCATCTTGATGTCACCTCGTGTCGCCTAGCGTTTTCGTGCCTCGCTCTTAATAGAATGCAGAGCGTGCGTGTATTTGCACCGGAGCCTGTACCAAACGTGTCACCGACTGCCAGTCTGACGACTGTCTTGACTGCCTGACTGACAGATCGGCTGGTTAAGACCGACTAACACGTGACCAGGATAATCCCGCGCGACAGTATTCACGGTATGTCTGATTGATCTTCTAGGTTTTTAATACACACATTTCGACGTTTCCTCATCGCACTTTGTCTGATCTTCCGACTTGCAAGTTTCGCCCGCTGTGTGCCCGCAAAATATGAATATTTGTTAACTTCATTTTTAGGAATTCAATATATAACTTTTATTATTTTATTATTTTATCCGTGAATCTTTGGTTCTTCGAAATTTCAGTTTTATGTGATGTAATATAACAATATATGATACCATAATAATAATAATATCGTGCATACCAATGGTAGTTTATAGATAGTTATAGATATTTAATATGTAATATCAATTATTTTTCAATCGATCTCATAAATTAGATTACGCCGAGGAAGGAATACTTCACGACTGCGAATCCCGGCGCATTGCATTCCGCATGTGCGTTTGAGTATATTTGTGTATAGATATATAGGCGCGGTATATCGGTCGGGAGCAAGTTCTAAGAAAGTATATATAGAATTCTTCCTACCCCTAACCCACGGAACATATCTGAGTGGTTATCTGATACGAGTTCAAGCACGACCCATATCAATTCTTTTCATCTATCACGATCGACTTAGGAATTCCAAAGAGGCTGGTAAAAATTCGCGAGCCTCGCGACGTAATGAACAGCGGAAGTAGTTTCGAATCCCCGATGTCATTATCAGATATCAGCCAGACGTCAGCCTTGTTACAGCGCTCATTGTCGCGTTCTGATTGAAAGGAAAACGCACTTTAACCATACTTTAATTTGATATTTCTCAACCGTTAAAGAAACAAAAAACAACGATCGCACGCAATGAACAACGTACGGGTGTACAACGAGCAGAGATATCAATTGCGCAATGAGA